TGGGAAGGGCATTAATGACTGGCCGCCAATCTTTACCATTTTTCATTAGGAGCCATTGGAGGGAATTCTTGCCGGCCTTTGCCAAATATTAGGATGAATTCTTCCATTCCAGCCAAATTAATAAAGTTTTCATGGACTACTGCATTTTCTCTTAAAGAAAATTTTTTTTTATACCATTAATACAGCTTGGCATATGTTGATACATAACAGTGAAGAATGGGGGTGAGGTAAAGAAATGTTCCACGAAATCCTTTGTATAGAGTGAGAGAAACTGATGAGCTGCTAGTTTTGTATGTGAGTCTTTGCCTGTGTTGTTTTTGGCTGTTCAAGTCAGTCCTAATCTAACTGTCTGAGGTGACCAGTGGAGGTTTACAGTACTGTCTGAGGTGACCAGTGGAGGTTTACAGTACTGTCTGAGGTGACCAGTGGAGGTTTACAGTACTGTCTGAGGTGACCAGTGGAGGTTTACAGGACTGTCTGTGACCAGTGGAGGTTTACAGCACTGTCTGAGGTGACCAGTGGAGGTTTACAGTACTGTCTGAGGTGACCAGTGGAGGTTTACAGTACTGTCTGAGGTGACCAGTGGAGGTTTACAGTACTGTCTGAGGTGACCAGTGGAGGTTTACAGTACTGTCTGAGGTGACCAGTGGAGGTTTACAGTACTGTCTGAGGTGACCAGTGGAGGTTTACAGTACTGTGGACACTGTCTGAGGTGACCAGTGGAGGTTTACAGTACTGTCTGTGGTGACCAGTGGAGGTTTACAGTACTGTCTGAGGTGACCAGTGAAGGTTTACAGTACTGTCTGAGGTGACCAGTGGAGGTTTACAGTACTATGGACACTGTCTGAGGTGACCAGTGGAGGTTTACAGTACTGTCTGAGGTGACCAGTGGAGGTTTACAGTACTGTCTGAGGTGACCAGTGGAGGTTTACAGTACTTTGGACACTGTCTGAGGTGACCAGTGGAGGTTTACAGTACTTTGGACACTGTCTGAGGTGACTAGTGGAGGTTTACAGTACTGTGGACACTGTCTGAGGTGACCAGTGGAGGTTTACAGTACTGTCTGAGGTGACCAGTGGAGGTTTACAGTACTGTCTGAGGTGACCAGTGGAGGTTTACAGTACTGTCTGAGGTGATACAGTACTGTGGACACTGTCTGAGGTGACCAGTGGAGGTTTACAGTACTTTGGACACTGTCTGAGGTGACCAGTTGAGGTTTACAGTACTGTCTGAGGTGACCAGTGGAGGTTTACAGTACTGTCTGAGGTGACCAGTGGAGGTTTACAGTACTGTCTGAGGTGACCAGTGGAGGTTTACAGTACTGTCTGAGGTGACCAGTGGAGGTTTACAGTACTGTGAACTCTGTCTGAGGTGACCAGTGGAGGTTTACAGTACTGTGAACACTGTCTGAGGTGACCAGTGGAGGTTTACAGTACTGTGGACACAATCTGAGGTGACCAGTGGAGGTTTACAGTACTGTCTGAGGTGACCAGTGGAGGTTTACAGTACTGTCTGAGGTGACCAGTGGAGGTTTACAGTACTGTGGACACTGTCTGAGGTGACTGCCCATTGTTGAGGAGAAAAGTGACCGTCTTAGACGGGTGGCCGTGCAACGCTGTGTCATTGTAACGTTAAAAAATACGCAAGGAAGGAACTGGGACATGGCTGTTTGTACAGGTGATTGTCTTATACAGGTGGTCGTTTGTACAGGTGATTGTCTTGCACAGGTGATTGTCTTATACAGGTGGTCGTTTGTGCATGTGGTCGTTTGCACAGGTGATTGTCTTGTACAGGTGATCGTCTTATACAGGCGACCGTTTGTACAGGTGATTGTCTTATTCAGGTGGCCGTTTGTACAGGTGATTGTCTTATACAGGTGGCCATGGGTGGTTGGCGGGTGCTCTGGTGTCGTTTGCTCCTCTTTATCTCCCCTCCTTCTTTTTTGTGTTTGTTACTCCCTTGTAACACCTGTAATCTTCGGCACTTATGTGACCTTATTGTGTTGCCAGTGCTGTAAAACTCTTACGAAAAAACAAAAAACAACTACAGGGGGCCATTGGAG